TATTGTATGTTTCCCAGCGGGCGTGGACTCCGCTGGAGCCTTGGGTCGCTGCCTACTGTAGCTTGTATCTACTGGGCACGGAAAGGTTTTGACTTTGCTGGGCGAGCCCAAAGACAGACGAGGCAACAAACTGTTGAAAGCTGGCAGTGGGGGAGGGGGTGGGGACTAAAACAGCCGGCAAAAGGCAGAAGGACAGAGGGAGTCATTTAAAATAGACCCTGTCAACACCAGATTAGACCCGTAACCCTGTCGATGAGGACAGCAGCCTTATTTAAGAAAAATACTGTAAGGGCTAAAGGTGTCAGAGTGCAGGTAATTTCCAGTGTCCTCAGCTATTCTTAACTCGGGGTGGGGGAGGTGAGGGGTTTGGGAGGCACTGGTAAATGGATGGGCTTGAGGGGCCTCTGAAACCTGTAAAACCAGGTGAAATTGTATGTGCTCTTTATTGGTGAGATAATTACAGCTTCCTTTTAGCCGATTCTGGAAAGATTGGTGACCTTTCCCTCCCCCTCCCTTGCCCCCTTAAAAAAAAAGAAAGAAAGAAACTCAAAAGTTTAGAAAGCAGGAATTAAGGGAACTCCAGCTCTGCAGTTTGAGGAGCTGCAGGTTTTTGTTGGTTTCCCCCCTAGGTTGCCGGACACCCTGCCCTTTCTGTGGCTTGTGCATGGGTAGCTTCCCAAGGCCCCCAAGTCAGAGCCGTGGCTGGGGTTCCTTAGCTCTGCCCTCCCAAAGGAGTGACAGTGCCACGGAGTGTGCCCCGCCGCCAGCTGGCTGTATCTTGCTGGTGCCCTGGAGAGCAGGATGGGTGGCTCTGTGTGAATCCATCCCGTGTGGGAAAAACATCTCAAAGGGCGAACCCCACAAATGTGGTGCTAAGGTGCTTCATTTCTCCTTTTCTTTTTAGAAATCTGCTCAAAAGTACGCTTTTACGAAAAGCACAGCCACCTCTATGAATGATTTCCATTGTGTAGTCAGCCTACGAAGCAATTGCTCTCAAAGGAGTAGGTAATTGTAGATAAGGCCATTTAAAATAAGTTCTTGGAGCATCAGGGGAAAGAGGATATTTAATGTGAAATCCCATTAAAAGGGAACAGCCAGGCTGCTGGTGACTTCTGCAGGATAGGTAGGTAAGTTAGGAAAGGGTCTACAACATACATACCCAGGCTAGCAAATGTTTTTCCACTACCAGCTGCCCTGGAGAATTAGCCCCTGGTGACCTGATGTGGGAGTCAGGTCACCAGGTCTAAGGTGAAGTGGAAAATGAAGGTCAACCTCTGTCCGCGCCCCCCCCCCAACCCCCGAACCCCAGCAATGTTTCTCCACTCAGCTGTAAAGCTGCCACGTGGAGGTTGCAGGATAATGATCACCAGGCTTGTCTAGCCATGGTTTTCATTTTTCAGTGTTTCTCTGGGTCCTCGATTTGAGTTTTATTTAAATCTTCAAGCACTGGTAACTTAAACTAAGTGTTTGGGTTTCAAGTATTTTGTGTGTGTGTGGTGGGGGGGTGGGCATGACTAAGTTAATTATAAAAATATATGACGTGTTTTGTAAATGTAAAAAGCTACGTAAAGCAAGAGATTAGGACCAATCACCTTCTGAAAAAAAATTCAGTTCATCATTAGTTGGCACCCTGTTGGTAATTTAACGCCCATGTCAAGGTTCTCCAGTTGGGGAGTAAATTCTTTACAAAAACAACATAGCCTCCATATGTGTTTCAAATGCTCTTGGTTCTTAGTAAAAATTAGATCATAATGTTAAGTGCAGACAAGAGGAATGCTTTGTAAGACCTGGCTCCTTTAAGCCAACATTTAATAAAAGAGTGGTGCTGTTTGGTAATTTCTAGACAAATAACATTTTAAATAAATTCATAACAAATGAAGAAACCACTTTTTAGCTGTCTTTAGGGAGAAAAAAATTTTTTTTCAGTTGGTCTTTAGGGACCAAATTAAGGCACTTTGACTTTTTTTTCCCTTCATCATAAGGTCCTTTTATGTTACTTGAATGTTGTGGCCAACTGCTTTGAATGTACAATTATGTGCTTGTGTTGAAATTTAAGTGTTGGTAACAGTGTAAAATTTTGGAGAGAATCTGGCTGGATACATGGGAATAGTCCAGTGAGCCCTGAGAGGCCAGAGAGATTTTTTCCAAGTTGAATTTGCGCAGTCCTTTGAGCTATGTAGGCATGTTTTCCCAAGTAAATCATTGGGTTTTATGTACATACCTTTAACGCTGTAGAATACTTTGTCACATAACTGGCTTAAAATGTGGCCTCCAGCACAAAATATGTTAAGATATTTTGTTCTTGTTTCTGTTTTTCAGGGGGTTTGGGAAACAAGGTTTCCAGTGCCAAGGTAAGCTGCCATGTTTTCTTTCCTTTTCAAGCACAACATGAAATTGGCATTCCAAACAGGGGCTGTATTTTCTTTGTCATCCAAAAAAAAGTTATTTAGATATATTCAAAATATGAGGGCTGTAAATGCGGGCCTTAAATAAACATCATGCAGTATTGCCTAGTAGTCTACATATAGAGCTGCCTTTTTCTCATTGAAAAAAAAAAAAAAAACACACACACACCACCAAAACCTTCCTGTAATTTTATCTTTCGCCAAGAACATTCTTGTCAGAAACTGCTGTCTTCGTGTGGGTGTTCAGAAAAAAAAAAAAATGGAAATCGCTTTGCAATCCTGTGGCTTTTCTTGTTCTTCATCCGTTTTGGTTCATCTCTTACCCATTGCATTGAGTTGGACTCCTAATTTTAGGGCACACATTATACTAGGAAGTTGTTTGTTATTTGATTAGTGATAGTCACCTAGAACAAAGTTTGCAGGTTAATTTAAAGTTGGGTAGATGATTGGATCATGACTGTGTGCTGTGACACATGGCACGTTTTTCCTTCAGCTTAAATCTGTGACAATATATGATACTGTCCATTACAGAAAGAAATCTCTGATTTCACACATGTAAAGTATATAACTTTTTAATCTCTCCATTCTATTTGTTTATGTTGTGGTTTTTTAAAAAAGCATTTTGTAGTTTGTGAAGGCATCCCAGGTTTTATTAGCCTACCTTCTGGCTCTCCTGCTCACTGTCTATATTATGTTTATTCAGTGCTGGTTACATTTCCCATCTGGGCATAGGTTTATTATTAGGGCAAGTGGAAAGTACATTCTAGCCTGGAAAATATTATCCGAACACTGTTTAATATTTAGTGCAGGAGAGAGAGAGAGAAGACTGTATTTTCTGTATCTTTCCAAAAAGTTGTGCTAGTAAACTGATTACATTTAAAAACTTCTGCAAATTGGTGAACTTTTTTTTTTTTTATATATGCAGGGTAGGGCAAAAGTAGGTTCACAGTTGAAAGTACAGGAAACAGTTTATTCTTGTATTATTAAGTATTGTATTTTCCATACAAGTAACTGTAAGTCTACTTGTGCCTCAGCCTGTGCATTTTTCAAAGATTTTAGGTGTGAGCATTTTATGGTGTGGTTAATACTTGACCTTTCTTCACAATGTGCTTAAAACCCCTATCAAATAAATCCTTTTGAGAGTTACATTAGGAAATCAAGGGATATTCCTTTAAAAAAAGAGACTAAAGAGAAAGTTGTGTTGCACCAGTATCTTCATAAAAGATGAAGGTGTAATCCTTTCCATCTCCCAAGTGGTGGACCTGAGCTTCTGAGGCAGTGGTTGGGCCCCCACTGGAACATGATGTGAGGAAGCTTAAAGATGTGAATTGTGACCGTGAGCTAAGGTGGATCACATGGGTTATTGTTGGTAATGTGTTTGGGTGGGGACCTATGGAAACCTGTAAGAAAAAATATTTACTAAGTTTTCTAAATAATAACTAGTAGAAAGTGGGTATGTTATTTTAAAAACTATGATTTTCTTCATATAAAGAACTCTGGGTCAAGTTGGTCCCTTTTAGACTTGCTCTTGAGAGCAAATTTTATTGGTAAAATCGAAGAATGGCTGCATTATTGGTCCACAATGGGGAACCTGAGTTTCCTCCCCTCACAGAGGATCTGTTGAACTTTTGGTGACTTAGCAGATTCATAGTCTCAGCATAACTCCCTTTAACCCGAATTATGATAGTGCTAGTCACAAAAATTGTGAACACATTATAAAAATAAAATTGTATTCTTTTCTCCCTTTCCACCCTCAGTGATAACTTCTGTTTAAGACAACCATTCATTTAGTGTTTTAAAAAGTGATCAAATTTTTAATCATTCTGCAACTTAGTTTGTTCACTCAGCAGTATATGGTGGATACCCTTCCATGTCAGTACATCAGTTCTACCTTTGTGTAGTGATTGCCTGTGCAGATATAATCAGGTTTACTCACCCATATCTCTCTTGATGGGTATTTTAATTGTTTCTAAGTTCTTAACAGTACAAATATTGTTGTTGATAATATCCTTGGATACTTGTGTAGGTATTTCTACAATAGACACATAGAAGTTTGTGTGTATACATCTAAAAATTTTTAAAAAATGTTTTATTGATTTCAGAGAGAGAAAGGGAGAGGGAGAGAAGGCTAGAACATCAATGATGAGAAAGCATCATCGATTGGCTACCTTCTGCACACCCCCTACTAGGGATCAAGCCCACAACTCAGGCATGTACCTGACTGGGAATTGAACCCGGTGACCTCTTGGGTGATGCATGGGTCAACATTCAACCACTGAGCCACATCAGCCGGGCATGGGAAGCACTTTTGAATCTTGAGCCTTTTCCCTATTAAGATTATACCAAACATTGTGCTTACCTGTGTCTCTCCCCGAAACTCCGCATTTTTTAGGAGTTAAGGGTTAAAAGCAGCTTCCCTTCGCCTTTGCTGAGGACATTCCATTGTGAAGGCCTGCTTCGGGGTAGCTGTTTCCATCAGCTCACCTGAGCAGGGTGGTGTTTTATGTTCCTCCTCTAAGAATGAAATGAGATGTTCGAGGGAAGAGGAAGAATAAAGAATGAGTCCCCCTTGGCCACACAAGGTGAGGAATTCCAGAAAATCAAGCCAGTGAAAGGGAGGGTGACCTTTAACAGAACGGGGATTGAGTTGGCAGCTTTTCAGAAAAGAATGTGTAGTTATTCTAATCAGAATGCAGGGTCTGAGAGCCAAGAAGTGCAGGCACCAAGTGCCAGGAGATAGGAATGGGCTGAGGTCCAAGTTGGGTGGAACATGAGGTTGGCCCCTTTAACAGAGCATTTGTCCTTCCTATATATGGGGTTGGCCACCCCTGAACTCACATAGGCCATTGATTTTTAAAATTGATCCCAATTTTTTTTTTTCCATTTTCAATTACAGTTGACATTCAGTGTTTTATTTGTTTCACGTGTACTGCATAGTGGTTAGACATTTATGTAATTTACAAAGTGATTCTGACCACCCCTCTCCCCCTATAAGCCTGGTACCCACCTGATATCAGGATTTTCCATCCTTCCTCTTCAAAACATGGGTCAGCCTCTTGGCACCGCACTTTTCATTGGTTACCCCGGATTAGAAGCTGTGCTAACCATAGATGAACTCTTGGTGTTATCTATAGAGTGCCAAAAAGACAGGCCCATGGAAGAGTGAGTGTAATTTGAACGTTTTACACTGAGGTCAGATCAAAGCATTGTTTCAGATTTGAAGATGAAATTGTCAATAATACCTAAAATATGGAAAACTGCAGTGGTGGTGGGCAGTTAAAATTGCGTTTCGCCCTGGCCCATTTGGCTAGGTTGGTTGGAGCATCATCTCATGCAGCAAAAGGTTGTTCGTTCAATTCCTAGTCAGGGCATATGATCAGGTTTTGGGCTCAATCCCCAGTAGAGGCCATATGAGAAGCAGCCAATGGATGTTGCACTCTCACATCAATGTTTCCCTCTTACCTTCTCTCTCTCTCTCTCTCTCTCAAAATCAATAAAAAATCTAAAAGAAACACAAAAATCCCTCTGCTTTTCTTTTCAGTAGTTCCCCCACCCCCACAAAGATGCATTAATACTTGCTAGAAATGGGACACATGGGCAAAACTAGTGTTGGGTATTTCCATTTGATGCTATATACTTGTCGTGCAATGATTTCTGATGCATGGCTTTCGGAATTGTACTTAGTACATTAAGTGAAAGTGTTTTATTGTTTTAGTCACACATCCCCACCCATAAGCTGATGTAGCATATGAGTGCTTATTCTTCCTACGAGGCGGTGGAAACCTAATAAATATGCATAATTTTGAGGATGAATTTGACATCCCAGTTTCCTTTTCTAATTTTTTGGTGAAATGATTTACTGCCCTCTGAGTGTTTCAACC